CTCGCAGTCCTCACAGTGTTTATGGAAGTAAACAACTTGGTTGTAAAAGTCAGGTTTTTAACAATGGGGGTTGAGTTATTATCGCCATTTATTGTCCATTGTTCTGAAGTGGTTTCCAAGATGCGGTCAATGAACTGTGACGTGATGAAATGCAGAAAATTTGTGATTCATGGTGTAGCCAAGCTTCCTGGTTGGGTTTTCAGATTGTGGCACACCAGGATCTACAAAATTCATGGAAATGTGCAATCTTATGTTGCTTTCTTTTTCCACAGAAGACCATCTTGTTTGTGTGATTGCTATCAATCCTGTAAATGATGGGAATTAAGTATTATTCTGGAAAGGTATTACTCTCTGCAAATGTACAATATTTGAAATAACAATTTCTTGCTTGGGTACTCAACTGGAGCCATAATTTGGGATGGTATGGTTGATTTATAAAGCAATGATTTTTAGCAAAAAAAAAAAAATGTGTCAATTATTGATAAATAGCAAAGCTACTTTAATATCAGTCAAAATCAACATTACATGCATTACTCTTGCTTGACAGCAAGACAAAATACTCTTTATATACCTCACTTAAGTAATCCAGCCATCTGATTGGTCGAAATTGCATTCATAAACTTCAACTGTTCTTGTAAAATTCCCGGTAACCATGCATAAAACATTTACTATTTTTAATAACCATGGTTATTAAAAAAATAGGTCAGCCTCCATGGTTACCCCATAGGTTTACATGTTAAAAAATGGTTTGAGCGATCGAGGATACCGTATGTGTGCGAAGGATTGGTCGGTAATTTCAATACAATTGAATCTCGATCGATCTTACCGACAATTTTATCTTGCATTGTTGACATGAAGACGAAAATAAACTTCCAAAAACAAAAAAACAATATCTGCCGATAGATCTTGATCTAAGTTCGTGCCAATATGCATTGCAAAAGTAAAAGAAGGGTCCGTTTAATGGAGCTTTTGCGAAGCATTCATCACGCCGAAGCCGGTTTCAATCCATTTTAATGTATATATTGTACAAAACTGCCAAGCACGTGAACAGCGCGCGATGGACGAGTGGTGTAAGGCATTGGTGAAAGATTCATCACTCATTGTACGCAAGGGTTCGACTCTCACCTTCGCCAAAAAAAAAAAGTATTTTTTATTTTTTATTTTTTAGTCTATTTTTTTTCGGCATATAAAAGTATTAATGACTGCTTTAATATTCGAGAAATAGTTGTTTTTATACGCTCTCGGGAAGGTTACAATTGGGCTATTCCCCTCGGCACGCCTCGGGTAATAGCACAATTCTAACCTTCCCTTGAGCTTATAAAAACAACTATTTCTCTCAAAGCAGTCATTAATACTATATTAGTGCATGAAAAAAAGGCCTATTAATTTCAGTGATATTCTGCTTTCATAATCCTTCCTGAGGAGAGACCCCGTGTGGAAGGGTACACCATATACTTCCCTATAGAGTCAAAGTAGGTTGATTGAGCTCGAGGATATATATCACATTGATGCTGCAATCCCTGGCCTAGGGTTAATGCATTTCCCACCCATCTCAGGCCAAAGCCATTTCTGTAGAGATGTTGTGCTCTGGTGGATACATGTATGCCACCAGACTGTGGATCACACTATGAATATGACAGACAAAGAAAGCGGACAAAATATACAGCTCCTCAGGTAGACAAAGGAACATCCCTTCACTGCTATTATGTAAATAGGTGAATATGCATGTGACACCTGTTCTACACATTTTTACATAATAGCAGTGAAGGGAACTGTATATTTTGTCCACTTTCTTTGTCAGTCATGTTCATAGTGTCACATGGTTCACAGTTTCAGTCCCAGAGTGCGGCACTAAAGTCCTCAGGCAAGACATTGATCTACATTTGCCACTCTCCACCCAGGTGTTAAATGGGTACCTGGTAGGATGTGAACATTAAGGTGATTGGATTGGCATTTGTGTGCTTGTAAAATGGTGCCTGGATGGAATACTCCCCAGGGAGTGGGGCGTGTGCACTATCATATGCGGATTAGAAATTGAATCCAATAACCGAGTAATGATGATTACGATGTGAAGTGCTCACAAACATTGTACTATTAGGCGCCATACAAATGTGGCTATTGTAATTTTATTATTGGCTCGCACTCATGATCTAATTGCTTTTCAGCCTTCTGTACAAGTGATTTTACCCGTGGCATACAAAGACTAACAAGTAAAATTGGATACAAAGATATGATTAGGCACTACATCGAAATGAAACTACTAATACTAATTGATTATCCGTACGACTATCATAAATTAATTCTATTATACTATTTGGTTTTGGTTTGCCACCTTGTCTGTTCATTAAATTCATTTCCATCATGCATAGTGTGCTCATTTTCACAAGTATACTCATGTATATGTGGAAGGCAATGCTTGATACACTTCAGGCAATTAGTTTGGATGTGATTTATACATATACACATTCTAGAGGAAATGTACGATGACGTTGAGTGTTGATTCTTATTATATCTCCTGTTGTGCTCAGATATAACCTGAACCAAAACAGTGATCATAGCCATTGCATGTGAGCCAGTGCATAGAGGAATTTATGTCAATGAAAATATAATGATTTATATATTCAAAAGAAGTTCAGTTTAATGTATATTTTTAAGCATCACAGACATTCTTCATTGTCTTATTTTCGGGGAAACAGATATTTATAGCTTGTTAATGTGAAAAAGAAGTTCACTTGATATTGTTCTTGTCAGGATTACAAGAGATATTGTCATGGTGATAAAGCACCAAAATGCTGTGTAACCTTGACCAGCACCTTGCTTGTGTCTGGCTTGAACCAAAGTTAGAGAGTATATTTCTGTGCATGATCTATGGGAGATGAAGCAGATTATATACATGTATCAATAACATGCAGAGTGCATCACAACTAATGGGGTAAAACCTAAAAGCGTTGTCGCATCCAAACTTCTCTCTCCCCTTGTCTCTCTCTCTCTCTCCTGAGGAACAGGTTGACTGTTGCAATCAGAGCCTCGTTAGTGAAGCATGCTACAGAGGGAGTGATAGAGATGGAGTTGCACTGTATGAGGGAGGGCTGGCTGGCTGGGAAATATGAATGAATAATTCATTTGTGGGCTATCTGAGACAAACTGGTGCTCGATCAAGGGTATTAAGGGTCATGGTGGCAAGACAAGTGAAGGGATGCTTCATTGCAGACTTGATGGAAGACCTCGTAGAAAGAAACCGCAAAATGGAAATTGTATAAAAACCAATCAATGTCTATAATCTACTGAATTAAATTTTACATGCAATTATGCATTGTTTTTACCGTCTCTATACCAGTGTAAACATAGTTTTCTATTTGCAGAAGCTGCTTTAGGATTCTGTCTTGTACAAGTGCAATTTTTTCAATGTGATATAAATAAATTATATTATTGTTTTTTACAAGAGCTCTTTTCAGTTTACCAGACCATTTTTTTTGTATAGCTTTCGAGGGCTTAATTGCTCACCACTCCTGTACTTTTATTGTTGTTGCTCTGCTCTGTTTTGAAGGAGTCAATTCTAAGGGTAATTACTAGATCATGAAAAACGATGTAATTGAAATCTGCTTGGCATGATGCACATGACCTCAATGTTGATGATCATTTACATTAAGTTTTGGCCTTTGTCGTTATTGGCAAGGAAAAAATCAGGACTTATTGAATTGTTGATGTAGTATCATAAGTACTAAAAGCTTTTTTATGGAGGTTTATACTAAATCTTTCCTTTTCCTGTCCATATAAAAGCAGCCTCCCTGGATTTATATTTTGCTATCCTCTATTTTCATAATTTCCATGCTGGAGCAACAGGAAATATTTCATCTCATCTTTGTTTACATTCCTGGTCCTAACCTTCCAAAGCTCCTGAAAGCTCCTTTCATGACCTTCTGGCTTTGTGGTGGAGAAGCTCTCTGGTAACTGGACACTGAAATCTAGTGAGGCTGGTAAACAAGCCTGTTGAACTCTGAACCCCAAGTCATATGATTAACAGTGTTTACATGGCTTTCCTGCCCATGATCATTTACGTTATTCTGCAGTATGCATGCATATAATACACTCTACATGCATGTTCTTGTATTATGCTTTCATTTTCCAATAGCGGGCTTAGGGTAGATTATGTAGTATTAACTGTTACAGCAGACGGATTAGAAGTCCTTGTCAGTTAGCAGGAAAGCTTTATTTTAGGTAATAGTGATATAAATAAAAAATTACTATTATATTTTTTTTTTGTCCACCATTCTTTCATGACGATGGTGTGATTTTGCAGATTGAAATGTATTGCAAGATCTGTCCTAGAAGTTTTGTTATACATGTAAATGCCTTTTGTTCCTGCTTTTAGCTTTCCTTAGTAGTGATGTGGAGAGTATTAAACAAAGACATAGGTGGAGGGAGGCCTATGTGTAGATTATGTATGATTGGCCTCTCATTACTGCACAAAATGTGATGAGATTTATATCAGATCTTGTGATAACACGGCAAGACATCAATGGTACAATGATATCAATGTATGCTGGTAGTACCTCACATGTTGAAGGATGTGATGTAATCAGACTTCATGTGAGGTCACTTTCCAACAAACCTACAAAGGTAGCTAAGTGAAAAGCCAATAGATGGGAGAGGGGATACGGTAGGTGGCACCTTTGCTTTTGGCAGTTACAAGTAATTTACTATTTCTGTTTAAAAATCAGCAAATTTTCCTCCAGGTATTTCTTTTCATTGCAGCTATAAATCTGTAGTCATAGTATCATACAGCTCCTTGATAAATTTTTCCCCCATATAATCAATTGCAGCGCACCGCAATTCTGGATAGTGCACCCGGTGTAAAAAAATCTTCCATTCCGTCTGCTTGTAATAGGTCAAGACAGTTGATGTGGAGGGTGCTTGTTATATCCCGGTGGAAATCTTACATAATGGGACTGAATTCGGCCAGCCATTGGCTTAATGAATACTGATTTTTTTTTTTGCAGGCAGGTCTCCCTCTCATTTGGCATCTATCAGCGCTTCATTTTGCAAAAAGGGACGGGGGAATTAGATCTGCGAACCTGACACGGATGAGTCAGGTCCGGTTTAATGTCAGGAATGTTACTACATGTATAAGAGCGCTGCCACACTAGGGACAGTGCCTGGCCGATAGTGAATCACTCTTCCATCGTATGAATTGTCTTCCATCCTAGAATCTCACTTACAACAAGTATTGCATAAAGTGCATATTTGTTTGAAATATTATCCAGGTCAAGCTATTCATTTGCAGGGATGTTTACATTTGATTTATAATGAAAAGAGATAGGTCTGTAGTAAGAAAATATTAGATGACTAGATATTAAATTGAAAATAGGCTTAGATGTAATATGTAGGCCTATGTTTCATTCTATCAAGGTCTAAACTTATTAAGCTCATGGTATGTATCAAATATGTTTAGCTAGAATTCCTGTCAACTGCTTAGAGCCAGAACGAATAACTCTATTAATACAGAGTGAACACCCTTCTTGCCCTCGCAGATGAGATCTGTCTCATCGTAAGAACGTGAAGTAATAGAACATGTATAGTACTACATGAGGTAAAGGAATTTGAGTGCATTGAATTCATGAATGACTTTAGGTTTCCTGCATCTCTACCCTCCTGATGAGACACATGGGATTATTCAACTCTAATTAAAGAACTTAATGAAGAATAGTGTGCGTTAATCCTACTGAGAGAGTGCCACAAGATACTACTCCTATTTGTAATGTGTGTGTCGATCGAAGGCCGCGTTCATTCCATCATTAATTACATCTCTGGAGAGTTTAATCTGTCTGGAGAGAGAGAGAGAAATATTTGTGTTTTCAGTTTCAAATTTCTATTTGTCTTTCCAAACACCGTCAATCAGCGCCTATACTATATCTTAGAAATGTATATCCCAGCTCTGGTTTTGAACAAAAGAAACTGCTGAAGTCAATTTTATTTGCTGTGAAAAGGTAGAGCAATTATTTTGAGCAACAAAATGTGTCTTTCCAAATGAACTACAATTATTTGCAGTGTTCAAAATATTAGACCCATGGCTTGAATTTCAAGTTTCTTATTCTTGTTGTTCAGGTGATGTGTGATGATATTTCTCAAAAGATTAATTTTCTCTGTCCCAGTGATATCAGGATTATTTCTGTATGCTTGAACGTCTGGATAAACAAATCAGTACCTGTATGAACACAACTGAAGGCATCTTCAGAACATGATTGTCAGTTGATGCCTCATCTGTGATCCTTGCAGTGTAGCCTTTAGTATACTCTTTGACATTGCACAATGTCCTAGTACATTGTTCTACGTGCAAACCTACGTGCAAACCTACGTGCAAACCTCTATCAAGTATAAGACTATATTAAGACAAACAGGTAATCTGAGCAAAATCATGGAATATCTACACAACATTGTAAGGTTGCTGTAAACAAGTACTATCAAAGCACAGAATAGTGATGTGTAGCCCATGGAATGTGGCATATTTTAGAGGGCAAGTGTTTATAGCATTTATATGCTGTTTTGTGCAAATCCTTTCAGGCAGGGTAAAGGCAGTATATGAATTGCTCTGTTGGAATTTTGAGGGGACATGTTATAGGTCTCCCCAAATGACCTTTGGCCTCGAGATATTTTTAAAGGGTCGCATTGGGAGCACAATGGCAGTCTGGAAAGAAACACATGTAACAACATAAGAGTTGAAAGAGAAGATAAATGCTAATTTCATATGCTCAATTTTTGGTGTGTCTAGTAATGTCTAAGTGAAAACTGCAAAAGGCATTTGTTTTTCTTAGTATGGACATGTGATGAGTAAATACTAGAAATTATTAGCTTGGCTGAATACTTTGCTGGTTATTTGTTTGTGGTTCAAACAGTCATTTAGATTTATCTCTCTTTAACTGAAACACATCCTGTAAGTGTTATGGTTTGTAGACGATTCTCCTGTGTATAATTATCCTGCTTGTGAGTACAGGATATGTTGTGAATTTGAAAGTGAAAGCAAATTCTACATTTCAGAAGCTCTCTTCATAAATATTGACTGTCCCAGTGATTTTATAATAACTATATAACTTTCAGCAGTTATGTTCTGTTCAAGTAGTGGTTAAAGGATGTAGGCTTTTTAAAGGTCCTACATGAAGTTATTATTAGCTTGTATTGTTATCAAAGGAAATGAAGCTTGTAGTCTATTGTCTTACATGCTCTTCAAGCTGTCAGTTGTGATAAGGGACCCATGTGATTGAATATGTTTTCCCTTTAATCTTTATGAACATATTATATAACTAGAAGATTACTAAATAGAGGTGATAAACTGATAATTGGTAGGTAAATTGTATGATAGGAAATTAGGAATTAAGACAATACTATGATATCAGAGGGCAGATTTTATTTCCAGTTTTGCAAACTAATGCAATTCTTGTACTACCACCTGTACATGTATGTTTATGTTCTTAAAACTAACAACAATTTAATGTGCATTTAATATGCATTGAATATTAATAAGTACATGTAGTAGGCCTACATTCGTTTTACAAACTCCTGTGACATCATTGATTGACAGCTGATTACATACAAATATTTTGTTGTGCTTTTCAAATAAATAATGACGATTACAGTAACCTCGAGCCAAGTCATCTAAATCCATGTTGGCAACCATATTTTATTACTGCTTTTCTTTGTCTGTCATAGGTTTTCTCTTGTGTTTTTGTTTATAGTTTCATAGATGGTTAGCCATGTACTTCACTTATCTGCTGAATCCAATATTTGCTCACAATGAAATGTGATTCTTGTTTACCATTTGATTTGAAGAAATACCAATATCGTTATTTGATTTGATCATGCTTGTGCAGGACTAGAAAATTACTTCTCACCTGTACTTCCTTTCCTGTTATAATTTATTCCTTTTTTCCTGATTGGTTAATAAATCATATGCAAGGGACATGTGCAGGCCTATATACATTTATATCCACACATTCATTATTATTCTTAATCATGTAGAAAATCAGCTGTGAAGTTTTTTTATCGATTTCGAGTGAAACATCGACACAAGAACATGATTTTTCCCATTAAAGTAATTGAATTAACCTTGGCTTGCTTGCTACGATGCTTGCTTTTCATTACGCTAGATTGCCCAATTTTTGACAGCAAATAAGAAGCAGGAGAGTGGTTAAAAGCTTGTTGTGGCATTGTAACCTTGTGCTGCTATGAACTACATATTGATATGCTAGACCCATCGTGCAATTTTGACCCAGATTCTCCCTTTGCTATGCACTTGACCACCCACTCACCATTTTGTCCTGTTTTTATATATTTTCTATTACAATTTTTATATTAGAATTTGAATGGAATGGCATCCTTTCCACTTTCTTATCAGTTCACCTGATCAGGGTAGCCTTTAAAAACACACCATATGTTTACATGTATACCTCTCTTACATGTATATTTAAATTGAATTCAACATCACAAATTTGCATGATGCATTTATTAATCCTTATTCTGAAAAAAAGGTATCAGGGCCTATTATGTAGCAAAACACAGTAGGCAAGATGGAAAATAGAAAATTTTGTATTGACAGTGTGTAACTATTTTGCTGGCTTGTATTTTACTTTAGAGCTATTTTTAAACCATTTGCGATTAGAAAGAGAATACGAACAGGAATGTGATAGGCATGATACTCTGCCGTATACCATGATAACTTTCCACTCTTTCTCCTTTAATTACGAATCGTCAGTTACAACTTCAACAAGAGCTAATGAATATTCTGTATCAACAACTTCACATACATGTACCTGCAACAGTCATACAGCTATCCCCCCCCCCCCCCCCCCCCCTCATTCAAAGGAAGTGATTTCCCATAAACAAAAATCTAATTGCTTCTGAGTGTGCCCATACAACGGCTGCTGCTGTCTGTCATCGGATGGAGGTGGAACAGTCCTAGAATAGAGCTGACATCAAGCCAAGTGCATATGGCCAGCCAACCCAGTCCTACCTTCAATGGATAGAAGCATATATATCAATTAAGCACCCCATGATATTGGGTGGCAGTTCGAGTTCTGAATACCTGAAAATTAGAAAGCTATTAGATGAACTGTGTGCCATCAGTCCTAATGTATCATGGCTACATGTTAACTACGTATGTGGCAAAGGGTGAAGTTGGGTTAAGTGTTATTTTAAGAGGCATGTGCCAGTCTCTGATGTTCCTTTAATCATGATTATCCTGGGAGGACATCGGCCTATCTGTCTTCAGACATGAAGGTCTGTTGCATCTGTTTTGATGGCATCATGGTCAAAACATTACTCTTCAAGTATCTTCAAATGTTTTCCAACAGAGAAGCATTACACTACCAACACATGATTTTGTACAAAACTGTGTTCAAACAAAACTGTGCAGTCATCAATTTCATTGTGGGGAAAAAGAATCTTTGTTGTTATTGGCACAGCAACGTGTCAGATATTACAGTATTTTTCATCATCAAAACAACCATCGTTTTGAAATCAGATGCTTTTCTTATGGGAAAAATAACCATCTGTAGTGTTTATGATTGTATTAGCAGTTCTTGTTTTGGCTCCATAAAGTCCCCTGGTGCTCTCACCAGTCATCCAGCATTTCTCAATCTGCGGATTTCTTGAATAAATGTGAACATCTGCAAAATTATGTTTCTTTAGATGTGTGATAGTTCACAGTTTTTGTTTAACTATGTCATATTTTGGCAGCTTCTGTGTCATTAGTCATCACAAGGCAATGCCAGAGGTCATTCTCTTTCCCAAGAGTAGATTATAAGCAGAAAAGTTTTGGTGTCTTGTGCCAATGCTGGGCATATTTTCTTGTCATATTGTTTTGTATCCACGATGATTCAGCAATGACAAACATTCTTAAAGCATTGTTTCTTCTGAACATGATATATTTCATATCTCTATTACTCAGGACTCCAGTCTAGGAATAATTTCTGGTCTACTTGAATTAGTAAATCTGAATACATTATCATGACAGTAGTGACCTTTTGTAGGTAGCACAAGCAAATTAAATTACTTTCGACTAGGTGTTGTAGCCTGCGGTATCCTTCTTTAGAGTCCCACAGTTCCTGATTGCAATGACAATTTTGTCTAAATATAAGTGAAAACCTCAGTGAGCAGAATTGAGGATAGAAACTGGTCATTAACTTGGCTGTTAAGAGTCGTGATGTATCTGGCTTGTGTCTGGAGAAGGTCAAGTGAATCTTCACATGTCCACGGGGGAGTAAAAGAACTTGCCGCTAACCCCAAGACAAAGAACCCTTTATAACTTGCTATCTAGTTTTGATCGGTTTTTATATGAAGCTGCATATGTCAAGGAACACGATAAAACCTGAAACTTTAGCGAAATTCATGAGTGGTCCAGATTTGTGAAATTTTCATGCTGTGAAAGTATAGTATGGTTTGACATTATCTATTACACTGTATGTGTGTAAATCTCATGTGCCTCGCAATAATGTTATTATGCCTACTTGTTTATGATTACTTTGATTGCTGGTTCATACTCATGAAGGTAGCCACAGGATTTGTTCACTATTCAAAGTTTCAATAAAAGCAGACTCAATAGTCGTGATTGCATTGCACCCATTGCTTGTCCATCAAGAAGCGATAATGTGTTGGCTCATGATGTCAAGCGTCTTGGAAGGCTGTAGACTTGACCCTGGTCCCAATTAAGAAGAACACAGGGAACCTACCCCATGACCATAGACCACAGCCACCACCAATTAGAACATGTATGGTGTGAAGATCAAATTACTGGTCCCTTACATGTACTTCTACTCTGGCTTCAAACTTTGAATAATGTTGAGAAATTAGTCTCTTCTACAATGGTACCACAGTGTGTGTAAAGTATTTTACATTAGGGTGTGATGTGTACAAGATCTGAATATGTCTGATGATATACAGTGCTGACAAGATCTGAAAATACTGGGTCGTTGTTAGTGTAAAGGGAGTCTCAGCCTAGTAGATATGATTGATTGTATTGTAAACCTGTGTTGACCCTGCATAACCCCTGTGCCATTATGTTTTGGGCTGATGGCAGGGCCCCAGGAACAGAAACAGGACAGGTTTTATGTGCATGCAAAAGACTGGCAGAAACATGACACAGATTACAGTACTTGGGTCTGTTCTTTGGTAATGGTACATTGTCTAGATTATAGGAGGGTCATGAATAATCAAATTTTTAAGTTTGGCTTTGCAGATCCTCTCCTTTTTTAGGATCTTTTACTGCTTTATATGTATAATACTTATTTTAAGTTTTACAAGTTTTGTTGAAAAGGTGATTATAAAAATGAAAGCCTGCACAATTTTTTGTTTATTCTTACAGTTATTAGCAATGTTTCCATGCATTTATCTGCTCGGTTAGAAAGAGCCAAGTGATAAAGATGAGTCTACAAGCACATAGTTTGTTACATTTAATTTAATAAGTGATTGTTTACCAGGAAGTATTTGCAAACAAATCATGTGGAAATTGTCCCCACAGAAACAGGAAACAAAACCATATTTTTGGCAATTTCTAGAACTGCAAATATTAGCGCTCGCCGTTTCAGGAAAAAAACGAAATAAGCAGCCAAATCAGCATAGTGGTATCACTAGCCAGCAATGGTTAGTGCAAAGTATAAACAAAACCATTATTATGTACCAGTATTGTGATTGGACTCTTTGGAGAGGTATTTTTGCATCACAACAGATTCTGGCTCAATTTTCCTTTTCATTTGTACAGAACTAATGTGGCATTACATGGTTTGGAATCTAATTATGAAGCAATGTAGCATGTATGGCAGTCTTTCAAATTAGTATTTGAATGCACAAGTTGTATTTACGCTTCCCATTCCAGCCAGTCATGCATGCCAGAGCTATTGTTCAACCATTACAAGTACTTGTTGCCTTTCGATGTTTCAGTGATCAAATCTGTGGAGTGCTTTTAGAATCGGCTGTGTGATTGTAGAGGAATTAGTATGCCTGAGTTGAAATGTAGTTCAATAGTCTTTCGATCCTGTTACTACAAAATTTCTGATATATGAGAAACAGAAAAACAGAAATGGAGATAAGAGAGGGTTGTTCAGACATGTGTGTCTTCCATAGAGCTATTCAAAAAATTATTGAAAATACATGCATTACAAATGTGTGGACAATTCTTGTAATGTAGGTTTGCCGAGGGAAATGGTCTAACTTTTCATACTAAACCCTCACATAAACATAAACACAGACCTGCACATGTCTCCCCTCCCCCCTAAGAAAAAATAAATTAGAAACCCCCTCTTTTGTTTAAATAGCTTGTCAGAGATAGAGATTTTTTTCAGACATAATCATGCAGCATAAGTAATGCAATAACCTAATGTGTGCTCTTTGACTCTCCCAAAAGTATATGACAGATTAGTTGTTAATGGATTGATGGATGGATTTTCACACATCTCAGGATTTATATGAACTAGGTGTACAGTGAAATCTGCATGCATGCTATGTACTATGAGTATTACAATGAAAGTGTGAACTATTCATATTTTATCTACCGGTACATGTAAATTAATGCATGTAGGTACTTTGTTATGTCATAGTTCTGTTTGATTTGAATGCTGAAGTAATCAAAGAGTTTGCCAATAGTTCTGTTACAATGCTGTTCTGAGAATTTG